CTGTTCTGTTGTAAATAAATCTTAACCAATGATTCCTAATTGCATCTACTTCCGGAAGGCCAAATAAAGTGCTTTTGCTTTCGCACTGAAACACAGCGTCTCCCTGACATGCTGCATCAACACTACTGCTGTTCCTGAAACCACGCCTTCTTTCTTTGTGTGCACATTTGGGCGGCATTATGCTAATATTTCCACATAGTGACATAGACATGTGGGGGCATGTTAGAACGAGCCGTTTTAGGTAGGCGTGGTTGACTCTTATTTTTTATAAAGAACATCTCTTTGAATTTGAGACTTTAGTCTCTGCAACTTTACAGATCTTCTTTATGCACCAAGAGCTTGTAACACTCCAAAGAGAAAGGAAAACTTGAAATCGCATCATATGACCCCTTTAAAGTGTTAAACATGAAAAAACAGTAACAATTGATTTTCTACTATAAAACAGATCTCTATAAATATGTAAAGAATATGTATAATTCAGTATTTTAACAAATTGCAAAAGCTGAATAATCAAAGCTACTGATTAATCAGTGAAGTGATCAATGTCGATTAATCGTTCTAATAATCGTTAGATTAATTGATTTTCAATATAATCCTTTGTTGCAGCTTTAGAAAAGATGACCCACATTGTGACTAGGGGTGTGTGATATTGACCAAAAATTATATTTCAGTATTTTTTCTGGGAATTTGCTGATAACGATAATTAGAGAATATTTTGTGACATTTTAAAAGATTGATTAAATTCGCTAATTAATTTCATTAGACACCATTTTTTAAGTGTTAAGTATGTTAAATCATAAAACACAGAATCTGGAAAAACACAATGAAAAACAATTTGGGGGGGAAATAAAATGGTTTTCATGGATCCCCTAAATTAGTAGCTTACTCTATGGAATTTAATTGTGCACAAACAGGTTATGTTTACATTCATTCTCAAGGTCTAACAAACGTGGAGAGCTTTAAAGGGGCTATTAACTGCCTTTTTTATTATTTTGTACTGTTCTCTGAGGTCCACTTATAATGTTATCAAGATTTTTACATCAAAAAACATCATAATTCAGAAGTAATGGGCTATTTTCTGTCCTGTTTTGACCCCCTCATCAGAATGCTCTGTTTGAATAGGCGTGGCGGATTGTTGACTCAGAAGTAAACGCCCACTGCTATGATTGGCTAAGGCTGATGATACACGGGGCAACTTTTTGGGCAGTGTTGTTATCCATTCTCAATGTGAAAGTGCCCAAGCAACATTGCTAAAAAAAAGTTGTCGGGCAACTTGATGAAATGTCTGTAACATACTTTGGTTAAAATTCCTCAGTGGTCGTGTAAAACAACACCCTTTTTACCTTGTCAAAAACAGCTCTGTTCACAGTGACCCATTTTGTTGCATGTCTCTTTAAATGATAATGAGCTACTACTCACTCACTCCATCCTTCTCTTCTGTTTTTTGTGTATTTGGTGGCACATTACCATCAAAAACAAAACTAATGCACTGCGTCCTCAGTGGCTCTGATATCGTGAGAAAATGAAGACTCTTATATTCACTTTTACATCCAGCTACAAATCACCTGCATTGCTTACGAGACATTGTTGTCACTACAGTAGGGATGGGCGTATCGATCCGATATATCGATACTGACGCGAGTATCGAAAGTATCGATACTCAAACAAAAAATATCGATACTAAGGTGTGTTTTATTTACCAGTGATTTTGTTAATTTAACAAAAATATAATGCGTACAATATGCATCGAATTGGACGAATAACCTTTGTTAGCGAGTAATTGTGTAGGATAGAACTATTTTCCTGCTCATCTGAACACACGCAAATGTTGCAAGACAGAATCAATACATCACAGAGAGCGTTCACTCACTGCTGACAGTGCATTCAAACAGGGCTACGTTTCCCAAAAGTATCATAAGAAAGCATTAAAGCTTTTGGTAACGGCAGCCCTGAACAATGCTTATCAGAGGACAGAAGGACAGAGTTATTTCACAATAAACAAACTGAAATTGTAGCCTACATAATTTGTGCAATTACAGTTATTTAAATTGAACGTTGAAATATATAAGGCATATTGAATGTTAAAATGCATTTTAAACAAAGTTAAGTGCTTATTATTACCCATTTTACTCTTAGTAATTTAATAATTTAATACATTTCATCATTTAAGTTTAGTGCAGAAACAGCTGCTAGAGCGCGGAGAAAATAGCGGACTGCGTACTACTGGCTGAGGGCGGAGATATGCTAATACAGGACAGCCCATCAGCGGTCATAGGCAGAGCCAATAATCAAAACGGCTTGATAATTGAGACTTTAGTTTTTTGGGGGGATTAAAAAAAAAGGAGTGAATGGATTTTTATCATTGTAGGGTGGTTGTGTTCACACACTGCTAAGACAGATTTATATGCAAACACCATGTAAAAGTGAATTTTGCATCCAATGCCCCCTTTAATGGTAAATTAATATTGTGATAAATATCACAAACATAACCTGTTTGTGCACAATAAATAATATTTTGGCCATATCGTCCAGCCCTATTAGGCAATATGTGCCCCTGTTGCTCATGTTGTTATTATTTTAATTACACTTTTCGGAAAGTGAGACCCTTGAGTTACAAACTCTTCATATTCTCAAAACTGATGCTGCAGTTGAGAGAATTGGTAAATGTTCCTCCATGCTATATTTATTTTCGGACCTGAATTGTTTGTTTAGTTTTTTTCCTCGACGCCTATGAGATTACGATGACATTCTGAGATATGTGGTTTACATAGAAATGAAGTTGTAGACTTAACATAGGTTTGCGTACTTAAAATCAAGCTTAGTAAAAGCATGAAATAGCATCGTTCGGGCAGCCTGTAACAGGCCGTGTGAGCTGCTATTATTCATCTGCAGTGCAAACATGTATGCATGACACTCGTGTTTTAGCATCTGTCCTGTGTTCACCGTCACCACCCCCAAAACATCTCACGTTCTAGATTCACAGCATGCCTTCCATATGAACCGCTTCTCCCTGTGAGTTTTGATGGGGCTAAATGCATGCCGGACATCTGTAACTTCCACTGACTATTTCAGGCCTTGCTAGAGTAACATTGAAGCTTGTTATTTTTTCTCATCTAGTCACAGCAAGATTTATAAATAGACCTGGCCTTATGAATCACATGGCATTGTTTTCAAATGTCAACAGAGTGGAATAAGCACAAACTCTAAAGATGAGTGTTAGAAGAGTTACAGGAGTTTTTGGGGTTAAAATATCATGTCACTTCTTTAGCTAACCTGCAGCCACGGCCAAAAATATATATATAATTCTTTCAGAAGGAAACATGCTTTCCACTCTACAGTTTGCACAAAGCAATCGTCTTCTAAGCAGAAAGAGTGGCCCTTGTTTTATTGAATAAATGTGTGTGCATTAATAATTTAGTCAGATTGTACAGTATTTAATTTTGACTTACTGTATAATTGTGACCATCAATGCTGAAATCCAGGGAATGTTTTAAAATAAGATAGTTTTTTGTAACTGTAATTAGGGCCTTGTGTTTTATTTTTTCCCCAAATTCCATTTGATGTTTTTCTCAAATTCTTCATTAATTTCTGGATTCTGTTTTAATGGTTTAATTAAAATATATTAATATTTTTAATCCATTTTTAATAATTCATTAAAATTTTATTACATTTTTACAAAATTTTTTTTTTTTTTTACAGTAAAAGAGCCCCATGAAATTATTTTTTCATGATTTCTATGTTCTCTTAATTTTTTCTGGATTTATAACTTAAAACAAATTTATTATCAAAAATGGTGGTAATCAAATGAAGGCATTAAAACATGTAAATAATGCAATGTAATTAATATTTGATGTAAATGTAATGAATGTAATGAAATAAAAATGTAAAATTAAAACATGGAATACAATTTGTGTGATACTCCTTAAAAAATACAATTTTAATAAATTTATTTTTTATAAATAGAAGTGCAATGGTATATATTTCTGTTATAATTTCTTAAAACTTTTATTTTGGGGGGCTGTAGTGAAGACCTTTGAATTTCTGCGTGTATCTGACAGTAGTTTTCTCAAATGAAATGGTGAAATGGTGAAAGTGACTCTCAGAGCAGCTCTGGAGATGAAGTTCATGTGTACATGTTCTAATATAGTGAGATAGCACACACTGAAAACATCACGAGCAGTACGCATGGTTGAGTATGTGTAGTAGATGAAACTCTGCCACTCATTCATTTAGACATGCAGACTTTATTTTTAAATAGTATTCTTTTTACACTAGAGTAGAGTCCTACTTTTAATTTATGCATTCAAAATTCGCCAAATTCTGTGACATTCCGCGTTATACAATAAATTCCATTTTTATGACTGGGTTCCATGATTCTGTCCACGTTTTTCTGCATTGCAGAAATTAGCTTTCAGTTAATCAGAGAGATATATATCTGATTTAAAATGACCTCTAATCTTCCTAATCGCTCATTCATAATATCCTTCCATAGGTTTTATTCCCTGTCAGGTGGTCTTAAATTGTTAACAAGTACTTGTGCGTCAATCTTCTTTTTCTGTGTTAACATATCCTATCATTATATCTTCTGCCATGGCATCCTCATCAAGTCAAGTCACCTTTATTTATGAAGCACTTTATACAATACAGATTGTGTCAAAGTAGCTTTAACAGGAGTGTTAAACAGGAAAACGTGTGCTGATAATGCAAGAGCCAAAATAATATTTACAATTCAGTTTTTGGTACCAGCTGAATTATCAGCAGTAAGTAGGTCTTGACTAGGGCTATGGACATTAAAAACAATTTATTAAGGGCTTGAATGCACAACAAGCTAAAATTACACATTATTATTAATCCCTATTAAAACAATAATTTAAAGCATAACCTGGTATAGATTGAGTCTTGAGTCATAATGTGCAATTCAGATGATATCTTTGTTGAATTCATAGCATACAGAAGATCTCAGAGGTTGACAGGTAAATGTTGATATTGCAGGTGTGGTGCTGGTGTGTTTTGAGGGTGACTCTGATGGCTACATCAATCTGGTGGCATATCCATATGAGGAGAGCGAGGGGCTGGACCACGAAGAGTTGTCCGAAAGAGATCAGCCACGCCGAAAACACTCTCGCCGTAGCCTCCACCGCTCCAGCAGCGAGCACAAAGAGGACCGACCTGCTCACGACGGCGACGGCAACGACAAGTGAGAGAGCGCAACAGAATTAACACAATCCATTGCTGAGAGTCATTCTGTATGAAAGCAAACTGTACTTTGGACTGTGGATCTTCAGATGAACAAGTGGTGTCTGATATTAAAACTCAATTACCAACCTTAGCAAAGAACAGTGTTATTTTACTATCACTTTACTATTATAGTTTTTTATTAATATTTTGAATCAGTTTTAATTTTTAGATTTTCTATTTTCATTGAAGTTTCAGCATTTGTTTTTACTTTATTTTAGTTTGTATGATTCATTTGTATATTTAGCTGCTGAAATTGAACATATTGCATTGAAAATGTGATCTCTGTGATAATAACAAAAACAGTGCTTCCTAGCAAGTACTTCTGTCTGAATCAAACTTGTGTATTTGCCAAGCAAACATTCCCATATAAAATGTTCATTTTAAGAGTTTGACAATCACAAAACTTTTTCAGCAGTCACACTTGCACAGCGTTGTTGGTCATTAGTGTGTCTGTGTAGTCTGCAGGAGTTGAAGAGTCCTCGCCTGGACCTACAGATGCATTCGGATGTGCCCTTCCAGATGCTAGACAGCAACAGCGGCCTGAGCTCAGAGAAGATCAGCCACAACCCCTGGAGTCTGCGCTGCCACAAACAACAGCTCAGCCGCATGCGCTCCGACTCCAAAGACAGGAAACTCTACAGTATCCTGCTCTGAAACAGCAGTTTATTCAGAAAGCTCGGTTTGGAAAAAAAGTGTGTAGTTGATGGACAAGTTCACAATTTTACTTTCTTGACAAATGGTCAACTATATTAAATTGCTTGAAACTGCTTGAAATTGTAATTACAATAAAATGCTATTTGACTGAGTAAATTACTTTTTAAGATAAAATAATTTAGAGAAGGTCTAATTACTTTTGCCTGTGGCATAAAATAGGAGAGAGGTCCCCTTCAAAACGAAGTGACTTGAAATTGAAAAACACAAGTTATGGTTGAAACGAGGACCAAAAAAACTGAAGTTATTCAGTCGCTCCATGCATCAACACTAGAAATCATGCATGATGTAAATCTTTTTGCAATTAGCAGCCGCTGTTCTGTCATCAGGGCAACATTTTCCAAAAAGCCACTGAGCATTAAAATAATGAAACAGATCTGTGGGTTTCTCAGAAGCATTATAATTTGATAAGCTTTAATAATCGTTGCAGATCTGCAGGCACTCTGACAGACTCATGGAGGACACCAGCTGGAGATCTGCAAAATCACACCTGAACTTTACTTTTAGGATGCTCACACTTTATGTAGCTTGGCGCTAATGAAAGAATACTTTAGATTCTATTATATTATGTTTAATACATTATTTAATTAATAATTCCTATTAAGGTACAAGTAAAGTATGTTTTAAAATAATAAATCAAAACTGAACAACTCTATGCAGTGTAATTCACCACAGCTGTAAAGTGCTGCAAAAGCTAAAAAAAAAAAAAAACAATACTGTAAAATATTGAAAAGTGCTTAAATTTGACTTCAAGGAAGGTGTACGAGACTGTATAGTGATAGGTGTACAACAGTACAGCCGGTACTGTGGAAAGACTGCTATTATTACCCTTTTTTTTGTCTTGTAAAGGCAAATGTTATCCCAAAAACGTGAGGCAAGCAAGAGTAATTTTCATGCCATGCACAAGCATTCCCGAAGTAATTTGGCATCAGAGAAAATTAGGAAAGTAGAAGCCTTTCTGTCAGAAAAGTGATGATTTTTGCCACGACCCATTGCATTTCCACAAGCTGAGCAACAGGAAGCAGATGTTCACGTCTTTAGGACTCTCATTTGAAATTCTCCAAAATCTTCATTGTTCATAAATGATTTAGTCACTAGAGAGAGAACTGTTTGTTTTTAAGAGAGGTTTTGGCTAGAAATGATAGGCAGGCAGATTGTGATAATATTGCCAAGCTTGTCAAAGTGAATGGGCTCATGGGAATCTAGGAGATTATCAGGAATACCACACTCCAGACTAATCCTTGTCTGTAGTTTAACTTACAGATGTTTTTTAAATGTAGTAAATAATGGATAATTAAATCTACAGCTAGCAGCTCTCTACAAATAAAGCTTAAAAACAGCACTGTTACCACTGCACTTCAAAGAAATATAATGAAGCATTTCAGTAGCAAAGCTGTTTTAGAGATAGAAGTCGCAGGGCAGCGCAGAAAATCAAGTGTGCGTGCTCCTAAATGTTTCTGTGTGTGTGAGTGATTGTGTATTAAGAATAGTTATTAAACTGACTGGAACTACTCTGCTTTAAATTATTTTAACATGCATTCCAGGCAATCAGAATTGAGTATTCAGAAAGACATTGTTATAAATGTGTATATATATATATATATATATATAAATAAATATAAACTTTGTGCATTTTTGTTGCACTCTGTTGTCTATGATTCTTGACCCTAAACCTCCACCAGAATTTCTGCTGCTGGAGAATGTAGTCCATCATTTCGTCTACCCCTGCATCCTGGACTTGAAGATGGGCACCCGGCAGCACGGCGACGACGCGTCAGAGGAGAAAGCCGCCCGCCAGATGAAGAAGTGCGAGCAGAGCACGTCTGCCACATTAGGAGTGCGTGTGTGCGGCATGCAGGTGCGTATGTCTCTGACCCGGCACACGCTTAGCGGAGCACTCTTACAATTAAAGGTTCTTCATTGGCATCCATAGTTTCAAGAAGAACCGTTACCGCCCATAGAACCTTTCCATTGTATTGTACAAAAAGGCTCTTTTTAGTGGAAAAAGGTTATTCAAATTTAAAATGTTCTTCACATTTAGAAAACATTTTTATTTTAAGAACTGTTCACTGAAAGCTTCAGTGGAGAGCCCAGAATGGTTATTTTATGGCCAGTGTGGTTAACCTTGGCCTCATGCAGGTGGCCCAAGTTGGAAACTGAAGATGAGACAGGAATCCCTGACACTGGCAGGAAAACTAATTTCAGAGTAGTCATTTGTATAAAAATTAAGTGAGTTTATGCTTAAAACAAGAAAAAAAATCTGCCAATTGGGTAAGAAAAATAGACTTGTTTTCCCTTTGGACGAAGGTTTTTTTTTTTTTAACCATTGGCAGATATTTGCTCACATAATAATCAACAATTGTGTGTTATGTTCCCTATTAGATTTCTAGGGGCAAAAGGGAAGTAACGTTTTAAAGTAAAGTTTACTGTAGCAGCAGCAAAGAGAAAGGTTTGAATTGTTCTCAGTCCCAGCACTCAGTACACAAAGAAAGACTTACATTTATTTACAATAAAAAGATGACAGTTACACAATTTACACCAGGGCATAAATTTCATCTAACAGTTGGGGGGGACAATAAACAATTTTTCAAGAGCCATTTTTGAAGGGGACACAAATACAGCTAAAATTGTACTTATAAAGGATATGCGTTACGAATTAACACAAGTAGGCAACAGGCAGCGGGTCCAAATGCAGTTCAAGATCCTTTAATGATAATCCACAGAAATAAGCATCCAAAATACATGGAACCACAAGGAGGTAACACTTAACTCACCCCGACAATAGCAGACCTGGGGCCCGTTCTTCGTACGTCGCTTATTACATCCGAGATGATGTCACATCCAAGATGATATCATCGCGCTAATCAGGATCTGGCTAATTCGGTTCTTCGAACGCAGCTGTTGTTGATTAGTATGGCTGGATTGAGTTATGAGATAATTGCGTGTTCATGGGTTGGTTTAAAAGGTGCCATGTATCGATACTCGAAACCACGATCAGCAATGCAACGATTGGCTGGCGGGAAGACAGCAACGTAATGACATCATATAATTAAACAAGACACCTGACAAAACTTGACAAATTTCTGGACATTTATAAAGGAAACAGCCATGCGAACAAAACTACATAAATGTTATAATAGATAAATGAAATGTGTTTTTATTTAAAAAATTTTTACATGATTCCCAATTATTTATATTCACTTTTTGTACAGGCTTTACATTTTTATTTCAATGTAGCAATTAGCAATTCATTTAATTTTATATTTGAACAGATTTGTTACGTGACAACATTATTTAAAGTTTCTTTCTAGATCATGTTATCCTGCGCTCCATCAAGCCACTCCCATAATATCGGTCACCACTCAAATTAATGCACGACTCTACATTATCTGTATAGCATGTGTGTAAGACTCAAATACAATTATGAAGTAATAATTTTATGACGAATAAATCAGTGAGTAAAACTGGCTGTGTCTGTAGTATTAAAGACTACACAACATTATTATATTATCTTTAAATTAATTTTTAAATGATTATTATTTTAAATTATTGTCCCTGGATCAGTAGGATACTCTTGTAATAAAGTTGTGGTGGTAGCGGACAGATTTTTAAGTATCAGTTCTGCTTAAAAAGATGCAATCTAATCCTGTTTACATGAAATAAGCCTGCTCATGAGCAGGTTTAAATTTACGGACCTGTTGCTATGACAGCAACTCCGGGATGAGCTTCGAAGTACCAAATAATCCAAGATCATGCCAAATCGTCAACAATCAAATCCAGCTAACGGAGTTAGCAACGTACGAAGAATGGGCCCCAGGGTTTAATATACACAAACACAGGACCAAACAGGAAATGGAACACAGCTGAACCAGGTAGACACTAATGAAAACACAGCATGATGGGAAATGGAGTACATGGCAGGAAGACAAAACAGGAACGCCCTCTAAAGCCTCACAGTGGTGCAGGCAACCGGGCGTCACAGTATGTATACACAGAGGAAAGCCTTACTACTATTAGTGCAGCAGGGAGACCGTGCCAAATTAGACAACTTCAAGCTGTTGTGGTCGCGCCGTGACACAGCGCTCGTGTCCGTTGTATCCGTCACAGTGTTGCCAAGTCCGCGGTTTTCCTGTGGAATTGGGCTACTTTATCACTGTTGCCGCGGGTTGTTTTTCATGTCCGCGGGTTGAAGCGACCCCAATAACGTGTATTTTAGCCCCCAGAACGTGATTTTTACCGGGGGACCCCTTGATTTGTTTGGGCTAGTTTTAGGTAGCAATTGGGAGGGTTTTGTTTAGGGCTGAACGATTTTGGAAAATAATCTAATTGCGATTTTTTGTTTTTACCAATATTGCAATTGCGATTTAATATGCAATTATTTTTTAAAGCTCTTTATGTTCTGTATTATTCTACAAAGACAAGCTATAAATCATTGTATAGTATGACCAAAACACAGATAGATTAAACATAAATGTTCTTTTCTGTAGGCCAGGCCTATATGTTACGATGACATTAGGTGATGCATGAATTGATATGAATGGCATTTTTATTTAACAACTACAATCACAGTAGTATATTGACTGATTTGTTGAACTTCCAACCTTGTAAGCATGTAATTATTATGACAACATAAAGCACTGACAAATAAGCCTGGTGTAAACATTAATATGAAAGTCAGTAACAAATCACACAAACTAAAGTAGATTGCAGAAATATAAAAACAAATCTGTTGCGTTACCACACTACTTTAGGTAATTCAAAGTCACTGTAATAAACATATGTTAAGATGTGGACTGCACTAAACACTGTCTGGTAACTTTAGACCAGTGGTTCTCAAACTTTTTTGGTCACGCCCCTTTAAACCTATAAAAAAATCTGCCCCCCCCCCTTCCCGAATCCCCATCCCACCTCAGACTACCAAATCATTTCACTAAACATTATGAAAAATGTATGCTTTTTTAATTAAAAAAAACCTACAGGGAAAAAAACACCTAACGGTTATTATTATTATTCTCTCTCTGTTATTTTTTTTTTGTGTGGGTTTCATGCTGTCCGCTAAGGCATAGTACACACACAGGCTTTCCTCCTCACCAAAGAAATTAAACACCGTGTTTACACTGGATGTGAGCGGCAAAATACAGTAGAACCATTATAATCAGTGACGCTGTCTACACTAGATGCACAAGTGTACAATACGACACGACAAAACCTGACATTAAACTGATGCCTCATTCTATTTATGACGTACTGACACAAAGTTAAAATAATTAGCAACGGTCGCTTTATCGCGTCCAGTGTAGAGCTGTTGCAGCGCAACGCACAACTGTAGCGTCCGGTATAGACACAGTGAGTAAAGCCGAGAGCGAGATATGCCTCGTCATATTTTCTGCATTTAGCTTTTAAATGACCAGCACCTGCCTGGGTCTGTGCGACTTCATCTATGGCTTTTCTCTTCGCTTTCACAAACCGATCCATCTCCCATTCTAAGTTATGTCCTTTGGCTGTTTACTGTTTTATTTCTTTTCTTTTTCTGCTGATGGCCCACGCTCGACTTGAAGCAGCGCTGCTTAGACCGATGGGTGTGTGTCATTAAAGTACTGTGAGAGCTATAAGAGAGCGCAGACTTCTCATTATGCTTTCTCTCGCCGTACTTTGATGTCATACACCGATCTATCTTCAAGTCGAACACACTTTGCGTTTTCCATATTGCGATATTATCGCAAATGCAATTAATCGCTCAGCCCTAGTTTTGTTCTACAAAACTTGGCAACCCTTTTTGTCAATTAACGTTATTAGAGCCCGACCGATATGGTTTTTGTGGGGGGCCGATACCGATATTAGGGAGTAAAAAAAGACAGATGTCGATATATCGGCCGATATTCTTTCTGTGTAGGCTATATTATAGTACAGTATAGTCAAAAGTTTGGACACACTTCCCATTCGTGTGTCCAAACTTTTGACTGGTAATGTACATAGAATACAGTACATAGCCTACATAAACAGAATATATATACATAAACACATTTTTTGCAATGATAACTCAAATGTGGTGATCAAACACTTATAATGATGTGACAAACATTGGCCTATGTAGTGGAGGCAGGTGTAGCGTCTGCGTAGGATCATGCATGAGCGTTGGACTGTTTATGGCTTAAAAGACCCCTTTTAGCCTTTTGACATTTGCATATAAATTACAGTTCTGGTCAGAAACTTTACGTTCGTATAGGGGTGTAAATTGCCAAATGGTTCTTCGCCTTCAAGTAAGATTAGAACCAGCCCCCACGAGCATCCTGCAATCTGATTTCAAACACATTCCACAAAGAGCTGTAAATGGCCAAACGAACACACACACACACACACCCAAACTAACACACACACACACAACAGTTAATTCGAAGATATAATCTAAATATTTATTATGAATCATAACCAGTTATAATTCATCATAAATATTCCCCTTTTTAGAGCTAATAAATAATAATAAACGTTACACAGGGTATTTAACAATTTAACAATAAACTTTATTATTCAAAATGAGCCTGACATCAGTGCACTTAACAGTAAACTTCACTTCACTTATTATAAATAACTTAACACAAATAGAACAAAATATATATAACTTGAATTAAGAAATTAAACAAGGTAACTGTGTAGGGTAAGCAAACTACTGCCAAACCAACAGGGGCAGGTTTATGCAGGAAGCCCAGCTTTTCCAAATGTAAACATTTAAAATGAATAAATAATAATAATGAATAATATATTTTTTTAACAAATTCTGTGTTGTGTATTTTCTGGTTATCAAATGAACATGCAGAACATTTGTATTTAAATAAGTCGTTTTGCAGTTTAATATTCACA